TATAAGGCTGACTAAACAAAAAAATTGAGGCACATTCTGAAAATCATACACCTTGCCCAATTTTACCCCAGGGCAGTGGCAAAATAATTACCGCAATGACTCAGTATTTTAGTATACTGTGTTAAGGACGTCTCAGTGATAATTCTTGCCGTTAATTCTTTTCTAAGAGAAAAGCAAGCAGGGGTCTGGGTTATTCAAGCGATAAACAAGAAGCCACATTTTTAGTGTAACAATGCATTTGCTGCATGCACAAGATTTCAGCCCAAGATACCACAAGTTCCATCATCAGTTACAATGAGAGGCATATTCCAGAGCTGCTTTAACAATTCAATGAAAAGGCATGATTCCTTGTAATTGATGTAACTGGTATCCTTGAGAAGCTATTTAACCCTATGATATGAAAGGGACGTTTTAGAACTAATTTGACATGTCGCCCTTTACTAGCTAGGCAAGTGTTAGTGAGCGACTGTTAGTTCCTATGCCCCCTCTCCTCCTCCACCGCAAATATATCCCCCATATAGGCAACAACACCAACGCTGTCAAGTAGAAAGCGCCTTGGTGCTATTTAATTTTCTCTGTCTGCTGCGGGAACTCTTGAGAGCTTCCCCGTCACTATTACCAAGGCCAACCCATCGTTATGCGCTCAGTGTTTGATCCATCTTTTTCGGTGTGCAATACTGCATGAGTTCTTCCTCACGGCAAAAACCTTTACTGCTGCATTTCTACCCAACCCGTTGATTAGCGCCTCGATTTCTAGAGCTTTATTTTTTTGGTGGGGTGTGGGGGGAAGTAGAGACATTCTGTCTACATCTAGGCTTGAAAAATTTCAAGGCATGAAAACTTCAAACAATTTTTAAAATTCAGTCTTAATTTGGAAGCTGGATTTCCACACACTCAAATCAAGGCACGGGTTTGAGAATCATGTAAACTCTGTACGTTCTGAAATGCGAAAAGAAGGGGGAAAAAATGTCAAAGAAATCCTTGCCTTTTTAGGCTTTGTTGAAAATAATAATAATAACAATCTTTGCATTTGATATAGCGCCTTATCTTGTCACCGAGATGTCTCAAAGCACTTCACGGAATATACTGTAAAGTGAATTGACTGTATTTTGGGGACGAAACAAAAAGAGAGAGAAGTCTCATTGTTTTCAGCAGTTCCTTTGGAAGTTATTTTCCCCAAACATTTTCCTTAGGAGATGACACACCATGCTGATATATTAACCTCTTTCCCCACAGCTTATACAGTGGACCATCTGTGGAATGGTACAGCCTGACAAGTAAGGCAAACTTCATGGTGCTTTCCATCAAGTTAAGAAAGGATTATAACAGAGATGCTTCTTGAGGATGAATCCTTAAGACTGCAGAGGATTATTTAGTTTATTCATGACTGGCCCGTGCCATCCCAGCTGAGTCCTGAGTCTTTCCTTTGACTCGCATCCCCTCCCCCCAACCCTCTCCCACACACCTATTATCCTTCTCCATTAAAGTGTGATAAACCAGCTGGCAAAAGGAGGTCAGATAAGGAGCAGAGCCACCACCATTACAAAGCCAGGCTGCTGAGCGAGATTATAATTAGCTTGGGCTTTGTTTCACCACCTTAACCCTCGCTCGCCAAATCGTTGCTCCCAGCCCAGTCAAGCCAAACCAAGCCAAGCAATGCACACTACTTGGAAAGTTTGTCAGAAAAGGAGCCAAATCACGGCTGCACTTGGCTGGTCAATGAGCTGAACTCAATGATGTATCGACTCAGAATACTGGTGCAGAATGTAAAATGCAGTTCACGCAACTGCAGATCTCCAGGAGGTAATGTTAATCCTTGACTCTTCCAACTGCAGAAACATCAAGAAATGTTGATCTTTTGATCTGAAGAGAGTTGTTCTAATCTTAAGGGAGAAGGCATTGTGCTACTTTGTTAAGGCTATCCCTTTGTTACACCACAACAGCTGACAGGTTGCCCCTATGTTACAGCTGGTCTAGGGGTAGTTTTTTTCCCCAGTCACATTAGTTGGGAGAAAAATCAAAGCTAAATCTGGTAACCGCAAAAGCTTGGGTCACTTAAATACTAATAATCAGAAGGACTTTAGTGTGTTTCTTTCAATAGGATTATTGCCCAAATACCCTCCCCGCTCACCCTCCCCACCATCACCACTGAATCCATAAGCCATAATCACCCGGGTGATTACAGTATGATTAACGGAAGCATATTTCTGAATTGTCATTCATAAAGAAGGCTTTCAATTTTCCCCCTGTATTTAATTGACACAGAGCTGACCCACGGAACAGCTGTCAGCCTTATTTTCAAGAGCCTGTAAAATTGTGTGCTAATGCAAGGCGGAACAGAAGCAGAATGATTATAGGTGTGCTGGCTGACGCCTGTGTAATAAGATTAGCATGTTGTATGAAGGGGATTCCAAAAGTATGCGGGCCGTGGTTTGTATAATTAATTCTAATTGATCGCATCATCTGCTTATGTGAAATTAATTTCTGAGCATATGCTGTATTTACACAGCGCTTGTTTCATGCTAGATTAATTCCTAAAGGTTTTTTTTAATCGGGTGACACATATCATTTTAATTGTGCCCATTCTGTCAAAATAAATGACAGCTTTAACATCTCACCCCCCACCCTCTAACACGAAAAAATTATCATTAACGCCTGTTTATTATTGTGTGGTAATACTGTATCTGTCTACAGGGAGCTGACAGGTCTTGAGGATTTATCTCCAGAGCTTGGAGGGTTCATTTGAATAGCAGTTTGCTGCTAAGATGAGCCAAGCTTCCGTGTGGAACTGATCAAGAGCCTTTTTGGGGGAAAAATTCCACCTAGGTCTAGATTTACTCTATTGATGTAGTCTTTCAGGGCGTTTAAGAATTTGGCAAATTGTCAAACTTGGTCTTAACTTAATAGTTGTTTTTCCTTTGCCTTAAAAGAAATTCACACAACAAAAACAACTTCGGAATTAAAGCCTCATTTGCCAAATTTGCCTCTGAAGTGTTGCATAAATAGAGTAAATCTAGACCCAGGTGGAATTTCTCCCCTGATTAAAAAAGCATTGGCCGCAACCATTTTAACGTCTTGCCTTAATTTGTGTATGTTTGTGTGTCTGCAAATTCAAGAGTCTTGCAGCAAATCAAAAGCTTTTTATGCAGTCTCCCCGTTTAACCCATGCATTTGGACAAAAATATCAATAGATTATGAGAGACAGAGAAGTGTATCTCTTGTTTTACTTTGAGTCCAGCACTGATCCGTTCTGTCCCTGGTTCTTTATGAATTTCTGCTCACCAAAGTGAAAGATTCCTACTTTCTTACCTAACATTTCTTCTACCGTTTGTATCCTGTGTCACCATCAAGTGCTCCCACGTCAGATAAAGCTTGGTTCAGCTATAGGATAAAGGTGTTTTCGTACTCGAGCAACAACAGGAGACTACATTGTGAGATTTTTTAAACAGGGAATCCTGCAGGGATTTGGATGTACCTCTTTGGAACTCAGTTCAGATGTCCACCTCAGTTTTTAATTCTGTGTTTCAATATAACGATTATTGTTAGTGGCAGTTAAGCAGGCAGGCAGTATATGGCTTGTGCGCTCTGATACCTCATTCAACCAGGTTTAGCATCTAACACAGAAAGAAGACTTTGGTGTTCTGTGAAACGCTTTGAGACGTCTCGAAGACACGATAAGGTGCTACATCAATGCAAGGATTATTATTATATTGTATTATTGCTGGGTTTCAAAAGCTTTCAACCAATGGCTTCCGGAAACGCTGTATTTTTTTGGCATCCCAAAAAATAATGTTGTCAAAATGGCATTGCAAATGACATTTGACATAAGGTTGTCAAAATGGCAGAGCCACTGGAGACCTGTAGCTCAGTGGTTAGAGCACTCGCCTTGCAAGCGAGAGACCTGGGTTTGTTTCCCATCAGGGCAAAACCCTGGGCAAGTTTCCTTACTACTCACGCTTGATAATAATCCCTCAAGAAAAATAAATAAATAAATAATTTGGTCACTCAATCCACGACTGCTTGTGGGACACCGCTGTGTGCAATTGGCTGCCGCGTTTCGCCCACAAATATACAGTCAATTCACTTCACAGTAGATTCTCGAGAAGATCTTTGAGTCGTCTCGAAGACGTGAAAAAGCGCTATATCAAATGCAAGGATTATTGCATTGTTATTATTGCGAGATTTTTTTTTTTTAAATTGTTTTAAAATCATTTCTCAAGCTTTTGTGCACGTGTAAATCTCAAGGTTTAATTCCAGCCCCGTGACGTGCACGCAGCTCGCATTACAATTTGGTGCACATCCAACTCGGGTCAAAGGTCTCAAGCCAAACTGTGTAGCTATATAGCAACTGTCGTCTGTATCGAGGTGAAAGGTGAACCTCTTGTCAGGTCACTCTTGCACATATCGCATCTGCCCCGGATCACCTTGTGCGTGTAATTACAAGGTGATCTTACGTACATCCGGCAAAATTATGCCTCTGATGGATGTTTGAGTGTGTCATTTTATTGCAATGAGAGTCAGAAGTAAATGCACAGCACTTGCTACTCTTGCTACATGTTGTTAATCTTTGATCAGCAACAAAGGGTCACTGCATCTGCAGGTTCACCCAACCGAGTGTTTGGGACAAATTTTGGTTTGGTCAACTCTTGCACAAATGGACTTCAGCCTGGTCGATTTGGGGGCGTAGAGGCTCAGGGTAGCGTATCCTTTTAACACATCTTCAAAGTGTAAGCATTCTGAGATCCGCTGTCAGCACATCGCTGACCTGGGGTCAGCCGTAGGGGGAGAAAAGTATAAGCAATGGTTGAAAAATCTCAGTGGTGCATCATAAATAAGTTATCATGGTGTAGTGGATGTATGTTGGGTGAGAAAACATTGCCTGCTTTCATGAACACCCTCGTGTAACAGGTATTCTGCGACTTTGTGTGTGACTTTGTTTAACCTTTTGTTGGCCGCTTTACAACATTTGTTCTCTCTAACCCTTTGAAACTCTTCTTCAGAAGGGGATGACCATTTTCTCCGATGGAATCGGATGCTCTGGCGTATCTCCAAACCACGATCCCTGCATTTCCACTTGAGGCAACGGATCACATTCCGGTAAGGATCTGTGCAGATCTGGTTAATCTTAAGGTAAGTCCTGATTCACCGATCCACTCCTCCATATGTTGGTGCCTTTCATGCTGCATGATCCCCATAGTTTCCATCCCTCAGGATTTTCAGCGATCAAGGACACAAATTCTCTTCACCCACTGTGCTGTAGTGTTTCTTTTCTCAGCGTAGGATATTCCTATCAGACTGATCAATAGACTAATTAAAGGGAACAGTTACCCCAACCTGTATGATAAAGAGAACTTGGCAGAATACACTGCTTTATCTGCCTCTAAGAGTCACTTAGAAGGATGTACCCTAAAGCAACCACTTTCAAATAGTCTTTTTTTTTCGATGAACGAACATCCGGTTGTCGGACACTCATCAACTGATACAACTGTCCCGAGGTCAATGGACTTTCCTGGCTCGTGCTTGAAAAATTGTCTGCTGCCATCTTCCTGATGAGACACCTCGTTGTTTCTCTTCTGAAAGTGAAAGGTCATATAACAAAGCTCTGTGCTACCATGACAACGGTTCCCTTTGACTCCCTTGCAAGCCTTTCTCACCGGTGTTCTGGATGCTAACAAGATGTAGCATCTCTGACATTCTTATTATTCATTATAATAGTCATAATCCTTACATTTAATACAGTGGCTTTCACGTTGGGAGGACGTAGAATGGAGTGGTTGTGTGTTTGTAGGCAAACGATAGCCCCATAATGCAAGAGTTAGGAACAACTAATTCCATCCACCTGAGAAATTTGTGTTAGGAATTAACTACACGGGTATGGGGAAAAGGGCAGGGAAATAAGACTGAAAGGATTGCTCTTAAAAGTGGTAGCACGGACACAGTGGACAAAATCAATCCAAGGCTCTTTGTGAATTGGAATCATATGTCATATCATATCTATAGAGGGAGGGTTAGGCTCCATTGGTGATACTCTGCAGGTATCCATTACAGAGGGTTTCTGTGAAGCTCCTCCAGACTGATCAAGGCGCGATTCCAAATAACAAAAACATCCTGAATGCAGAGTGTAAAAAGCTTGCCTGTGTTTCGTTTCACTAGGGGAAGATGGTGTTGACAATGTGGGTCATAGCTCAGGTCTCCAAGGAGTCACCCGCCCGCTCGAATAATTGGGGTACAGATAAGGATCCCCATGTAGTTTGGGGGGGGAAAGTGTATATTGTTCATCCACCTGCACAGTCCTCGCTCCGATGCTCGCCGATCGCTTGATCATTTAAACAATGAAAGGATTTCCAACGTGTGTGAGCTGAAGGATTTTTGTTTGGAGATCAAACTGTCATGTAGTCAGTCACTTCCTGGGCTCTGGGGATACCTGCGATTTGTTTTTTTTAAAATAAAAAAATGTTTTCTGCCTGTGCTGCGGTCTCTGTGGGTTTCTCCCGAAGGGAATGTATCTTGCAGACAGGTTAAACAGAGCCTGTGCCATTTGATCAATGGAACGGCACACTGGAGCCTGACTAACTCCAAGTAAGCCCTCCCGAGGGGTGACCTGCAAAGATCCCGTGGTGTAACAGTTCAGGACCGTGGTGACTCTTGCAGCTTCTGCCACCACTCTACGGTTGGTAGGTTGAGGGCTTCAGTCTCCTGCTGCAAGATATTGCCCAATCCAGTGGCCCTCTGTCATTAGTAGGTCATCTACACTCAACTACTAAACCCACTGCCTGGGTCTCAGGTGTCGGAGAGCAGTCAAACACCAGCATCTCTCCCTCTCGGGCAGATTCAATAGATGTCCAACATGACTACCAGCACCCATTAGGTAGCAACAATGAGGAAATCTGCTTTGACCAAAGTATACAGGCACCAGCTATGGGCAGCTGCGTTAAATAGACCAAATGTGCTTTACCATTGAATACAGCAGTTCCAATAATCCTTGCATTTGATAAATCATATCAGAAGGACGTCTAAAAGCGCTTCACAGAATTTACTGTCAAATGTAGTGACTGCATTATGAAATAATAATATCAATAATAATTAGCGAACATTTACATTTATACCATAACTCTCATTAAAAAGAATAGTCTTGAAGCACTTTATAGTGCAAGAGTAATTAGAAATGAAGTTGGATGCTGTTACTTTGGCCAACTTGGTAGCTAACCAATAGCAAGTAACACCTCGCAAACAACAATGGGTCGAGTAGATAATTCATTTCAATGTTGGGGTGGATTTAAGTGAGAAGAAATTGCAAAGCCAGGATAACTGGAGAAAAATGACACTTCCTTGAGGAAATACAAATCAAATTTAGAGAAGTAAATAGAGCTAACCTAAATTCCTTGTTTTTCATTAAATCCTCCTTTTGCCTCCCTCGTTACCCTACGTGTTGGGCGCTACATCAATGCAAGTTGTTGTTGTGAAAGTGGAAGCAAAGGAATATTTTTCAATCATCCTTGTCGATGCCAAGTTTCAGAGTGACCCCAACTGATCAGATGAAAGTCATTCATAAGACAATTGTAGACAATGAGACTTCTCTGCTATGAGCAGTGCTGCACAGAGTAAAGTATGAATTTCTGAACCCAACACTGCTGACATCGATTGAAACGGCTCAGGAAGTTCAGGCAGCCCAAGCTGTCCTGAGGGAGGTGCAGTGTGTATTTAAGGGCCCAAGTAGGTGGACCGAAAAAGATGCTCCACAGCCAATGCACAACTAAACTGGGCCATTTGCAGAGGATTCAGATCTCTGTGACTTGTATCTGATTGCCGTAACCTCGGAGACTGTAGCAAGGGAGCAAGGAGCATTCAATCAGGCCAAGTCTGCAAAGCGTTGCTTAGTAAATAAATCACATCCACTATCGAAATCTCCCTCTGTTTACAATTGCCAAGAGTATCTGCATTACATAGCTCGGAGTCTGTGAAATGCTGGAAGCAAACACGGGCATTAGTAAAGTACACTGCATCATTCCATCTCCACAAGCACTGAGTGAACGCAGAAATATATATACTTTCACTTTTGGGCCAATTGATTTTGTCTCTATGTATGTATGTGTGTGTTCATGCATTCAACATAAGCGTGCGTGAGGATCTGTGTGTCGAGGGATGTGTGGAGAAACAGTTTTGGAAGTTCATGTGTGAAGTTTCGGCATTTTGTTTTTATGATTACCGGAGTTTTATGTTTTATGAGTTTAACGACTTATCTCAGATATTTTCCAGTTCCAACTTGATTTTCTGCAAATCTAAGATTTTTGAGACAAAGTTTTGCTGGCTAAGAGAGGGCGGAATTTCAGGCTGAAGGTCATTATATTCAGTAATCCTTCATGTGTGAGAGATGCTAGAATGTATTTAAATTAACCTCTGTCCAACTCAAGACTTTTTTTAAACAAACTACATAAATATTAATAATAATTGCATTGATTATAGATCATCTATGCTTTGTAGCTGTGTTAATTAGCGATTCTAAACAAATTGCCAGAGCGAAAATGTGAATAGATTAGTTGTCAGGAAAGAACATAAAACATAAGAAATATCACTTTAATATGCGGAACCATTATTCCCTCTATTCTCGAGAAGCTGACTCATGTCAGAGATTACTTGCAATGGCAAGCTATGTAGCTTTAGCTGTCTAAACTCGTTTAGTACCCCCAAAGCACAGTCTGAGGTCTTTATTCATAGACACATTGAAATTGCCCCATTTAGACCCCAACATTGCATTTCACATGTACAACAATCAATAAGGTGGACCAGTGGTTGGAAGGAATATTTCACTTAATTGACCCATTCCCCCGCCCCACTGATAGCAACATATGCAACGCAATGTATATTTCATATTATTTACAAGATACACCAGGCCTTATTCCAGCAAACCATCTCCTCTGAGTCGCAGTGGGTTTCAGCAAAGTTCAAACAATCCATCAGTTGACACTGATACTTCCAATTCTAACCTGATTAGATTAAAGCCTCTCTTGCACACAATGGAATCACAGCAATTTTCTGAAGTTTACATCAGTAAGTGGGCAACAGGGCTATCCAAGCACAATGCTCCATTCTGGGAGAGAGGGAGGCCGAGAGCTCCAGATCAGACTAATCTCCTTAAAGTGGCGGAGCCCTTGAAATTGTCTTGGTTAACCGGCACTGTACTATTAACCCTTTCACGGACTTTCAACTTGTGACCAAAAAAAAGCCCCCCGACTTTTTTTTAAATAAAAATGTGCTTCTATTCAAAAGAATAGAAACACCCAGAATATCCTATCCGAACAGGCTGTGTGTCTAGAATAAACTTGCTTCGATCAGTTAAACTATTGCAGTGGCAGAGAAAAAAAAATGCTCTTATTGATTATCGGGGAATGTTATGAGATGAGAGATAATTACTCGGGGGAACAGGATTCTGAAAGATTCTGCTCCGCGCGGGAAAATGTATTCTATCAAAACAAAACAAAAAGGCAAGTTCAAGCCAGGTCACCGGCAAACGATATTGCTCTGAGGAGCTGAAATTGTGGGTGGAAATTAATGGTAATTGGCTGTGGAGTGTCCTTGCTTCAAAGGAATGGAGTTGGTAGCAACGGGATTGAGGAGAGGTAAGGAGACCTCACCTCAGCTTCACCAGCGCAGAGATACCGAGATTTCGAACCGCACAGAAATGAATGTCTTGGAATCGAAATCGCTGCCGATTTTGCACCTAGCCGATGAAGCAAAAAAAGAAGCCATACTTTTGCAAATCTATTTTTTATATATACACGTATATACGTATGTGAATTAGCTCAGAATTAGCTCAGAAAAAGGAACCCAAATGGACTTTTAGCCCGGTGAAAAATGTGATCTGGTGATGAGATACTTATCCACGGACTTAGTCAGCTGATCGTGTGCTATATTTTCACCCTGTTGTTGCACAGTATGATATTTGTTTTTTTTTGCTGGATACAGTTTAAAATCATTCAAGAGCAATGTATATCAAAAGGGGGCTGTTTTACTGATACCTCACATGGATAAAATCACTCATGTGATTCAGGATGTGAAAGTCTTGAGCCTTTTTATTTTGGTCGCAGGGTGCACTACTG